AATTTAGGGTTTCGTTGATAACCGGGAAATTTGATAGGTGGTTTGTTATTGAATATTTTGTGTAGAAAGATCTGGTCTTTAAAGCGAAACGAAGGGAACGATGCCGCCGCAACTCTCGGATAAAGAGCTGGAAGAACGGCTTGCCTCCGCCGGGAAAAGCCTTCTTCAGCCTCCCTCCTCGGTCGATGAACTCCTGCCCCTTCTCGATGTAAGCCCCCCCCATTCTCAAAGTGAATGCATAATGAGATTAAAGATGCATTTTTTACGACAGATCATGAATTGGGTCTCTGTTCGTGGACATGACGTCCCAGTTTTCCGGTTGGATTTGCTTTGTGGAGCAACTCAGTACTCTCTGTCATTGTCATTGTTACTTTTGCTTTCTGGGATGGTAGCAGTAGAAATTTGCTTTCGACTCCTTTGTTTTGAGTTAACTGTTGAAATGTGTGAGAGTTCCTGTTTGTCATGAAATTTTGTTTGGGTTGATATCGGTGCTGGGAATGCATGACTGAGCAAGTTATTGTTTATAGAGTATTTGCATTCATTCAGTGTGTGAATGTCTGAACTAAGCTAAGTCGAGCAAGATTGTTTGAATCCAGTTGCACTACATTTAATAAATGGTCTAACGGAAGTCCTACTTATTTGGTAATCAAGACGGAGGCTTCCACTCATTCCGGTAGATTTTTATTTGTTTAAGTTCGCATATCGCGTTCATTAATTTTCGGTTATCCAAATTTGTCAGTGGTGATAATCAAATTGCAATCGTCAATTTTTTGAATCCTTCGGCAATTCTGCACGAGGATCACTTTTAGTGTATCACATCGAGAATATTAATATATTCAAAGTCATGATTTAAGTGATTATATGGCAATATAAGATTTCCAGAACTTCAAATTGTGCATTTGGATTGTTTGTGTATGTTGCTTTTTGAGAGAGATTTATTGGAGCATCAATTGTATTATTTGGGTAATAACTTTTGAATCATATATCATTGCTTAATTCCTACCATAGCCCAAAAAGAGAGAAAAGAACTGTGAAAGATTCTTTTCATTTCATTCGAATCGTTTGGTTCCTTTTATTTTGTACAAAGCTATTTTTCATTATATCTGAGACAATAAGATACATAGATGACATTTTTCGCTTTTTCATGAATAAGAATGTTAATTTTAATCATCACATTTCTAAAATTTAAGAATACTCATTTATCACTCAGTATTCTATATATTTTATTGTATTGAGCATAAATATTATGTGATTATGAACACGTGTTTTCATTTAAGTCATGCAAAGAAAAATATTGTGTATGAGATTCTTTCTTCTGCTGCATTCTAACCAAATGCTGAGATTTATTTTTCTGAAATTTTTATTATTGTTATTGTTGTTTGTTGCTTCAAGCAAATCGAGGAACTTCTTTCGAAAGTGGAGCAGTCACCTGCGCAGTCCATGCAAACTGTTCTTTCCCCAATAATGAAGGCACTGGTCTTGGAAGAACTTTTGAAGCATTCTGATGACGACGTTAAAGTAGGCGTAGCTTCCTGCATTAGTGAGATTACCAGAATTACTGCACCCGATGCTCCGTATGATGATGAGAAAATGAAGGTGACATGCCCCTCCCTCTGTGTGTGTGTCACAGTCCATTCATTTTGAAGTTATTTGACATTTCATATGGTTTCAGGATGTCTTTCAATTGATTGTGTCATCATTTGAGGATTTGTCCGAGATATCCAGCAGATCATATGGAAAAAGGGCCGCCATACTTGATATTGTGGCCAAAGTCAGGTCTTGTGTGATCATGCTGGATTTAGAATGTGATCAGATGATCATTGAGATGTTCCAGCACTTTCTGAAAGCCATTAGGTAAGAGTTCATATTACCAGTTGATTACCATCTTTATCCTATGGTATCTCCGGTCCCTTAAACAAGAAAGTCATATAAATTGTTGTCTATTGTTATGTTGAAATCATGTTAATCTTTTGCTTTTTCTCATTGTTTTAGCGGAATAATTGTTTAGGGTCGATCATTCAGTCCCCTTTAATCTGCGCAGACAGGCACATGATGCCCTATCTGAGTTATATATGCTACTTTGAAGTGATAAATGTTAACACAGACATTATTCTTTTGTTACTCATTGATTCATTTGCATTAATCTTTATACGTTTGCAATCTGATTTTTATAGCAAATTAGCACTTAAATGAAGCCTTTGGATTAATTTAAGAAATTCTTATATCATTTTTGTAATGAATATGTATGAATAAGTAACTCATCATTTTAGGGCGTCTAGTTTCTAATGGTGCATGTGCTTGAGATTTATTCCATCATGAGTAGTAATGTTTTCCTATTACACTATTTTCAGAGATTATCATCCTGAACCCATCTTTGCATCCATGGAGACTACAATGACTCTAGTTTTGGAAGAAAGTGAAGACATCTCCGCAGATCTACTAAATCCAATTTTGTCTACCTTGAAAAAGAACGAGGTTGTCACATTGGGCATGGTTTGAAGAACTTTTTGCTTCTTTTCTTCCTTTTGTGTTCTACTTTTTGCTGATAAAAAAATATGTTACAGAATGTTCTGCCAATTGCGAAGAAACTGGCTGAGAGAGTTATTGAAAGTTCAGCCGACAAACTTAGACCTTATTTACCACAGGTGGTGAAATCTTTAGATTCTTCGGTGGATGATTATGGAGAAGTTGTAGCTTCCTTGTGCAGAGACAATATTGTTAAAATTGGGAATAGTAACAAGAGCATCTCAAAAGACCCACAGGTATATGTCCATCTTGATCATCTGCCAGCTCGTCGGGATAGTTTACATATTTTATTATTCCATGTATTTGTGGTATGTTATACTTATACTAGTTACAATTCCCTAACACTGGAAATTCTGAAGGCCCTATGCTTGTCTGAATTTGGTTCCTTAATTTTATAAAGTTTCTCATATCATGTATATCCTTTCTTTTGAATCTTTGAGTTTTTCATATTTCTGCCAATCACCATGGTAATATTCTCCAGGTTAATGAGAGGAAGTCCAGTAGTTCCTCTCCAGTTCGAGATCAAGTGACTCAGGCATGTTGCTGTTATAGTTCTCTTAGATAAAGTTCTGAAATCTTTTCGCATGTGTAGTGCATGAATATCTCTTATGGTTATCTCTTAGTTTGATGAGAAAACCAGCACATTGTCCAACTCTCAAATCATACGATTTCCTTTGATTTTCCATTTCTTCCCTTCCGCGTGCATGAGCATTCACGGGATGGAAGGGAGTTCGTTCAATATGATAATTAGGTTTCTTCTATTCAACTTGAAGATCAGTTAACTTCATTTTTTTTACTTTCTTTAATTAGTTCATATATTTTGTGCCTAAAATGCATAAATGATGCTAAATGCACACTAGCTATGCCTTTTCAGTTACCTTGCCATGTTTTCCTTTTTTTAATCGAATGAGGGCATTAGGAATTAGCTACTGTTGAAGTTACTGGTGATGGTGAGATTTTGCTTGTTACTCCAGTCTCCATTTCTGTTAAATCGGTAAAGTTCTGCAACATTTGTCCCCCTTAAAGTATGTGTTGCATCTCATGGTTGTCTATGCAGGCGGTTAAGGAAAGTGGAGAAAAGACTGATTCTCAAGAGCAAGATCCCACTATGATTGGATCGACAAAGTCAGTTGTTAGTAACGGTGTCAATGAAACGACTTGTACTGAAGAAACTGTGGCAGATGCAAATTCTTCAAAGGAGGCTGATTCTGACCATAATCAGGTTGATGCCAAATTGGGGTCCAAAACCGAGTCTGATGACGGCGGTGCTCAAAATTCAGAAAAGTTGGAAGCCAATGATGAAATTCCTAGTGAAGATGTCCCTATATCTGCTACTGAGGCGGAACCGGCTACTGATGCTGAACCTGCTACTGAGGCTAAGCCTGCTCCCGAGCCTGAGCCTGCTCCCGAGACTGAGCCTGCTCCCGAGCCTGAGCCTGCTCCCGAGGCTGAGCCTGCTCTCGAGGCTGAGCCTGCTCCTGAGGCTGAGCCTGCTACCGAGGCTGAGCTAGCTCCCGATGCTGAACCTGTTGAAGCAGCCGACTCTTTGGACAAAGTAAAAGAGGACGCCAAAAATCAGCTTTCACCATCACATTCACCCGAAAATGAGGCTGTAGTTGTTTCATCTCCAGTTCATAGCATAAGCCTTTCTGATGAGAGCAGATCCAAAAAAGATAGTCCGGCCAAAGGGAAGGAGAACTTGGTAAACGAAGGGAAAGCATCGGTTGATATTTCTTCTAAGAAGGCATCTGCAGGAAAAAGTCTTTCTAAATCAAGGAAGAAAAAGCGGGGCGGCAAAAAGCTATCTGGAAAGAAAACTATGAAGGACAAAGAATTGACTGGAGAAGGTCCATCCAAGAACAAAGGCAGTACAAGTGATTCAGAGGCAAGATCACCGGACGAGGCTCAAAAGCTGGGGGATGCTAATAATAAGACGGAGGATTTGTCCTCCGTGACTAAGGGAGATGGCAAAAAGAATGCTAATAATAAGACGGAGGATTTGTCCTCCATGACTAAGGGAGCTGGCAAAAAGAATGGGCGTGTGAAGCTTACCTCAGGAAAAGATGCTTCAAAATCTTCTGCAAAAGAAGTTCCTGCGGAAGTAATTCAATTTCTTCCTGAAATGTTCATTTAGATTGGTTACCTTTTCCAATTTTTTTATTCTTTTGTACGTCTTATGTTCTCATGTGGTTTTTATTGGTAGGACAAAGTGGCTTCACCTAGGTCACCCTTAAAGTCATCAAAAGATGAAGACACTGAGGTAGAAACTCCAAGAACTGTTTCCAAGAGAAAGCGAACTCCCGGCACAGAGAAAGTATGCACTTTGAGTTAATTGCTTGCATTATTTATCTTTCTTGCTAGGTTTAGGTTTTCTTTTATGCCAGCATTTCTTTCTTTTAATAACTAATAATGGAACATATAACTGTAACTTTTAACTTGTACTTGGTGAATGCTACACACTGCTCGCTAAATTGAAGATGGAACTAGTCTTTTCATGACTATAAACACGTAAATTTGGCAACTTGGATAAACATTTGATCATTAGTTTCTTTAAATTTTCTTCTTTTCTCAGTTATCCCATCACTTACCCTGTTCTCTTATTGTTCTCAACTTGTCTACAAACTTGAAAGATATTTCTTGTATAAGAATTTTCTTGACAGTCGTTTCAGTTTGCTTGCTTTTAATACTTTGAAAATATTGGTTTGAAGATGTTATGCTAAACCAATTATTGTCAGCTTAGGAATGTGATTACGGCATCCATGGATGCAAAAAAGCACTAATCTCATAATACTGGACAGTTATCAGTGATCTCTGGCTGAAACTAAAACCGAGACACCCTGTTACTATTTACATCTTGTGCTCTTTTTGTACAATTGAGCAGTCTTTGTGTTTATGTCGATAATCAAAGTGTGTGTGTACGTGTTTTATTTCTCAATAAAAGGAATGGCTTGGAGTTTACCGATACTGATTATATTTTTAATGAGTGTAAAATTAGAGCTGGTGTAAGGGCAATGAATTAATGTCACCATCCATTATCAACTTTACGTTCGATTAAAATCCGGACTGATATTTGTTCAGAACCTGATTTTTGCATTTCTTGTTGAAGTTTCATCCGACTGTACCTCTCTCTTTCTCCTCTCCTCTCCTCTTCTCTCATCTCCTCTCCTCTTCTCTAAGTGGGGGAAGGGGACAGTCCACTTTTTATAACGGACTCTAGCAAAATACAAGGAGCTGCATTTGCATCCAAACAAGTTAAATCCTTCACACTGTCTAGCTAGTATATGATGCAACTTTTTCTGTTTGTTATATTATGCTTTCCAGACATCTGGTAATATTGCGTATGGCAAGGAGTTGGTTGGCTCGAAAGTTAGAGTATGGTGGCCAAAAGATAAGATGTAAGTGATTCTTACACTTCATATTGTACAGAAAGGTGATAAGAAATTGTGACTATTTGCTGGCTTATGTGGTGTTATTGCCAGGTTTTATGAAGGTGTAGTTGAATCTTTTGATTCTGTGAAGAAAAGGCATAAGGTCAGTGCAAAAGCTAAATTCTTTTTGTTGTTGTTGTTGTTGTTGTTGCTAATGCTGTTCATTTTGCATTTAAAAAATGTTGTTTGATAATGTGGTGATCTTATGTAGGTCTTGTATAATGATGGTGATGAAGAAATACTAAATCTTGGTCGAGAAAAGTGGGAACTTGTAAAAGATGACATGGTTTCAGATGGGGTACGTAACTTACTGGTTCTTGTTTGGGCTGCCGTCTTTATTTTATGTACATTATTTGCTGCTAACAATAAATGTAAACAGGATGATGATGCTGAACATTCGAGCGATGATACTTTATCTGAAATGTGAGTTGCTATACTCAATTACTCTCTTCTAATTCATTCCTTTGAAACCAGAAAACAATTATGTAATTTATGTTTTAAAAACACAAAATATCATTTATTTAGAATTTGAGATCTATTACTTACAGACGAGCATCGGTTGTTAGGACCGGATTTTTGTTAGCCTTCGATGGTGGTAATCATTGAACTGACATGTTATGGGTATTATTATTTGAGAAATGATTGTAAGCTTGAGATATCTGAGTGTAGACTGCAGAAGTACTCGATTGATTCTGTAGTTAAGAAGTAAGCTCACTCTAGCTGATATGACATGTTTCCTCGCCCACTCTATAGATTTGTTGCTTGTTTCGTAGGATGACATATGGGTCGACATGCGCTTGTACATAATTCATGTGGCAAAATCTTATCTTTTAACACATTTTATTAAGTGTAAAATCATCAACTGAACCATGTTCACATCTATGATGTGAAAATACTTGGTTATTTTCATGTCCACGCAGCACTTTGCATGTTGTGAATATGTGTTCTGGGTAGTCTTCACATTTTTACGCTTCTTATTGTTGGAGAAAGACAGAGAATCTTTGTAGGGTATTGCTAATGGCTTTGTTTCCTTTAACCAGGCAAAAGAAGAAGAAAGGCAATACAGATTCAGAAGCATCCAAAAGCAAACGTCAAAAGGTGGACAGTACACCAAAAAGGTTTGTTTCCTTATTGTTGCTCCCAGTACATGTTATTTTGTGGCATGAGGGTGAATTGATAAGAATGAGAAATTGCTTTTTTTCCAGTAAACTGAAAGACACTCCAACAAAATCCGGGGGCAAATCGAAGGATCAAGTCAAGACTGAATCTGACGCCAAAGATAGCAAGTCAAAGCCCAGCAAAAAGGCCGCAGATGAAGCCATTAAGGTAAAGTCTCAAGGTAAAGTATCTGGTGGTAAAACCAAAGACGAATCTGGTAAAGCATCTGGTGGTAAAACCAAAGATGAATCTGGTAAATCTTCCAGTGGTAAGACCAAAGAAGAGTCTGCAAAGACCCCAAGCCACCCTAAACAAGGCAGTCAAAAAACTGTTAAGTCTAAAGGTAAAACCCCTCAAAGTGGTGGGAAAGCCCTTAGTGATGGTGGTGGGGCCAAAATGGCAAAAACTAGTTCATCAAAGGCGAAAGAAACTGATGGGAAGAAGGAAAAACTTGCTGACTTGGTGAAATCATCAGTACCGGCCAAAGGGAAATCTGTGGATTCTTCGAAATCACGAGAAAGTGAGGCCAAGAGTGGAAAGAAGCGAAAAAGGTGAACTTTCAGTTGCATTCTAGTTGTGCAGGTTTTTATCCTGACTTGTGTTTAATTTAGACTTGTCTGCATTTTATTTAGTGTTGGTTGGGTGTTGGAGTTTAGGTTTGGAAGTTGAGTCGTGTGCGGATGTTAGCTGTCCCCTAATATTTTTTAACATTTGTATTAGTTCGTGCTAGGTACTGTTGGTATTGTGTTTTAATTTGGATCGACGGTGATTTTGCGTGAGTAAAATATATCCCATAACGCAGTCACCTTCGTATTTTATTATGTGACTAAAAGAGCTTGTTCTTTGTGTTCTATATTTTGTTGTCTTATGCATGCATGCTAATTTTCAATTGGTTTCAAATTTAGGACAAGGTGGTTTATTTGTTTGGTTCATGCACCTGGAATTAGAGTTGGTCACAGTTTTCATGGCGTGAGAAATTAACTTCTATTTGAAGTTCAAGTTAGTACTATATTTGCAATGTTGGCCGGATTGGACTTGAGTTGCCATTTTGCTTTCCCGGATTACTTAGGATTACTTTTGAGGAATGAGATAGTCTTTAAGTCAACTGTTTAAAGATAATTTGGAATCTTGGATAGAGCATGTTTGATTACAACATTTGTTTATCTTGACAAGTACAATATTTGATTATCAGTCATGGAACACAAATGTGTATATGCAATTTTACCTTTATTTATTTATTTTTAATTGACAGCGAACAAGAATTGACCTTAGACCTTAGATGTGGTGGGAAAAGTACATAACTAACCCACTCATGAAAAAATATTCTATTAAAACAGCAGATTATATTGAATTCCAAAAACACCTTTTTCATTCCAACAACGGTAAAACCACCAAATTAAATAGAAACTGTTTTAATTTTAAAAATTAAATATCCTATTTTCTTTCTCTCCTTTTCTTTTCTCTCTTTTTCTTCTCTCTTTTCTTTTCTTTTCAACGTTTCCTCCATCTTTATTTCTTCTTCAATTCTTCTTTTTCTTCTTTTCTTCTTCTTCTTCTTCTTCAATTTCTTCTACTTCTTCTTCTTTTTCAAACATGAATTATAAAAGCAACACAAAAAACAAAAAAATTGTTATTGCAACTAAAAAAAATTAATAATGTAGTTTATAAAAAACAAAAACATGGTATGAGTTTCATAACAACAAAACAACAACAAAATAACACAGAAACAACAAAAAAATAACAACAAAACAACAAATATATATATATCAAACAATATGAAAACAACTTTCTATAAGTTGAAATAAAAAAAAATGAAGATAATCATGAAACCAATCACAAATGTTTAAGAGCCCCAATACACCAAATTACATATAGATTTTGTGAACACAATTACACGAATAATCACATGAACACTTGTAGCACCTTTTGTTTACAAGCAAATTATATTCATATGCAATGAAATGATGTAAAACAGGTAATGAACAGAGATTCAAAAACCATTACTTAAAAAAATGCAAAACCATAAAACATTACACAAATACATTAGAAAAATTAGCAATAGTCTAAATTTCTTGAAAAAAAATTAATTTTCATTACCTGGTAACCATGGTTCATGAATGGCCCCGACAAGTTGCAAAATCTCATCAACCTGCCGGCGGCCCAAATCTCCGCCAGGCCACAACCCCTAAACCCGCCGACGACCCAAATTGAGATGGAGGATCCAATTTACGAGTGTGGAAGAGGACGAGTACGAAGCTTTGGTCGGCTAAGACGTGGCCCTGGGACTCTTAAGTCGGGTGTGGCTTCTCAATTTCGGCTCGCCTACGAACGACGCCGGCTCAAGGTCGGGCGGTGGCAGTTGAATGCTCGGGTGATGGTTTGGGATGACGATTGGGTAGGATTGGGGATGATGCCTTGGGTGATTATAATTCGGTAGGAATTCATTGTATAGTGTTCAAGAATTTGGATTTTTCACTGAATTTACATGCTCTCTTTACCTGCGAAATTATAAAAGAAGAAAAAGAAAAGGGGAAGAAGAAGAGAGATCCATGTAAAACAAAAGATAGAGAGAAAAAAATTAAATAAAAAGGAACCGTCACAATCTTTAACCGTCCGTTCACTAAATTTGCCCACTTGGGGCGTTCAGAATGGAATAAAAAAAGGTATTTTTGACTTAGTAGAGAAGTGCTGTTTTTACGTAAACAATTTTTATTAAGAGGTGTAGGGTGTCTTTAATTCTAGATGTGGTCACAGTTCCATCAGGCCCGGTCAAAACTGTTGATTGTGGGCCTTGAAGTAGCCAGTGGTTTTACCTGGGACGTGCTTTTTAAAAAAAAAATTAACCGCCGGTTTAGGTTAGGTTTATGTTTTTTTTTTTCTTTAATGAGGAAAACATCCCAAAGGGTGGGAGAGTAAGCTCTGATTTCCATCCTATCCTATATATAATTAAGACCTTAGCTAGGTCGAAAAAATCACAGGTCTATACCTGTCTAAACAAAAATGAAAAAAAGGAAAAAAACAAACAAACAACCATAACGAAAAGAATAGGTGTCCAGGCGAACAGTCTACATTACAAAGTGGCTAAAGTGTACAACAACACAAAACAACTACTAAAATAGGGGTAGTTGAGTTGGACCATCCCCTAAAGTGTACAACAAACACAAAACAACTACTAAAATAGGGGTAGTTGAGTTGGATCATCCCCACTTAAGTACGTACGCAGAGAGGGGCGTCCTCAGGTTGAAAAGTGCGCCTCTGGAGAATGGTGGTTCCGAAGCTGACCAGGAAGTCAGCGGGTCGGTTTCCTTCACGAAAGATGTGCGAGATCTGGTTCAAGTTTCAACACATATTTGATAGTTTTTTTTTTTGGTGTGAATTTTTTATCTTTTTTACTATTATTTTTTTTTTTGAACTGCAGGGCTGGTTCTAATCTGGGACTGTCAGGTCTCTGAACCGGCCCTTAGTCTTTCCGGGTTGTTCCCGTTCACCAAAATAACAAACCTGAACAGTCGGTTTTAATGGAATTGGATTTTGGCCACGTCTAATTGACCTCACTTCCCCCCTTTAGCTTCAGTCTAACCGTGGTTAGCCCATGGATTATTATTGGCAGGCTTCCTTTCATATCTCTCTCCAAACAACCCACCTGAAGAAACCAACCCAAATCATCTTCCGGTGGTATTGTTTTCGAAATTTCAGTAGAAAGTTTATACGTATTCCTTCATCGTAGATACATAGAGAAACTATGGAACATTTGCAAATCAAGAAACAAAATGGATTGTTTTGATTGTGCATAGCATGAAGAGAGAATGGAAGAAAAACTGTGTGCAGAGTGTGCGTGTATGTTGGTGTTTGTGGAAAAACGGAAGGAAATGAAAGAGCGAAAATGGAAGAAAGAATTGTGAGCAGAGGGTACTTGGTGTTGGCAAGAAGAAAAGAAAGGTAGAAGAGAGAAAATGATAAATTGGACATTTGACTTTCATGTTGGTGTTGGCAAGAAAAATATAGAAGTAGAAGAGAGATAATGATAAATTGGACATTTACTTTCATTTTTACAAGAGTTGATAAAATGAGTCAACCCATTTCCCTATAGATTGAATCATCCGCGTTCCCGTAAATTAATTGATATAATCATGAGCAGGTGGATTTGTCGGTGGCCGTAGGCCGTGGTAAAGCAAGCCAAACACGTGATACATGGAGGATTGCAAGTGTTATCCTATCCAATCCAATTAAACAAATGAGGCCTTGTGGTTTGAAGTTTAAATCCTGTTGAAGAATCTGGTTAATACGTTGGTTGAATGATATTAGTGAAAAATATAGAAAAATATGAAAATAAAGATTTTGTTTTTGCTCTAGGAATAAATATAGTTACTGAAATATTTTGAATTGATTGTGGTGACTGGACTTGCTCTGAGAAACAGTTTTCATTTGCATGCAGTACTTGGCCAGATAAATAATTGTAACTATTTTCGCATTGCAAATTTATCGTGTTATCGTATTATCATGGCTTTATTGCATTGAATTTGAGCAAGAAAATTGAATCCAAACTGTTTTGGTACAAATGTGGTAGTTCCAACTTATGCGAACAAAAATTACACGGATTATCCAAGCGTTGTTTGTGACAGATAGCAATACACAAATTTGATAATTCATGATTATCGCGTCATTTATTCTCTCAGAAACTAAAGAGATCAAAATTGCAAACGTTCGTAAGTTGTGATGTAGCATTAAAATGATCTTTCTTAGCTAACATTATGGTACGAATCAATAATAGCATCGGCAAGATATTCGCACTTTGCCAAAGATAAACCGGCCAACGATATTCTTCCGTCCTTTGTCATGTAGACGTGCCACTTGTTACTCATGTTCTCGCTCTACATAACATACACATAGTAAAAGAAAACGTCAAAACCCAAGAAAAAAAAAAAGAAAAAAAAAGAACTTGAAGCAAAAATCGCACACCAAAAAAATATCAGCTACACAGTCGATACCTGAGCTTTGTTCAAGCCTGTGAACGAGAACATTCCAATTTGTTTAAGAATAAAGGACCAGTCTTTGCCGGTTTTGTCCTTTGCACTTAGGCTATCGTATAATTTCTGGCGGACATTCTTTATTCTTCCAGCCATCATCTCCATCTCCTCTTTCCACTCATTGAAGAGAACAGAGTTCCCCACTACATTCGCGACTATCTTAGNTATATATGCTGCTAAAAAAATGTTTATTAACATTTTAACAATCGGGATTTTTATATGCATGTTGACTACATATCTCTGATTATGGGTGCCGTGAGTATGAACCTCGGCCTCATCTGGAAAAGCAAAACTATTGATCTTTTTGTTGATAGGCAGTGACAGGAATTATTATATAATGCAATCTCAATAAGATGGGTTGAGAAAGGACTAGTTTTAATCTAGCAAAATTCTTTCTTCCCCTCTTAATCTATGTTGGAGAGACTTCTTCTCAACATAGATTAGCCAACCCTGTATTCGACGTGTTCTTCAATAACAATATCTAATTTTTTTCTTTCAGATTTCAATGCTTACTGTTTTGATTTCCTTTTCATTTACTCTTCCGTCGTTCTAAAAAGACTTGGCTTTAAAGATGTTAATCAAGGTCTGGTCCTTCCTGTAAGGTAAATGCAAGTAGCTAAACTCTCCAGAATTTGAAATACAATCTTTTTCTCCCTTTGAGATCACCAGCTACAAATGTTTGCTTCAGATTTAGAGCAATTAAAGGATCAAATTCTCAAAAGGGGAGCTTTGCATCCGTCTCTTCCAAAAGTCTTTTCCTAACTTCAACAAGGTTCGAGGGAAGGTTCTGTAGCTTAGGATTGTAATATTGATCATTAGGCATTGGCAGCTAAACTTGAAAATCCAACGGCTGGATTTTGATCAGACTACTGATCACTAGTTAGCTTTTTTTTTGGGCTACTAACCAAAATCCGACCGTTGTATTTTCAAAAGATTTACTTCGATAGAAACTCATCCTCCAAGCTTTCAAATGACACATTTTAATCGAAAATCGATACCTTGATTACCAGAAAACTTGAATTGAAATTTTTTCTATACACACGTGCTTCTACTATCTTCATGGAACGATTACAGAGGTATCGATTTTCAGAAATCGACAAACCATACCTCATTTTGTTCGTCTCGCCATGAGCTTTAAAAGCCCTAAATTAATTTTAAAGATTAATTTAAAATTTATCGTTAATTGAGTTAAAAATTTTTTGTGTCATATTAGAGTTTTCAATCAAGGAGACAAATTGTCAGTTTCGATTACACTTGGAGAAAAAAAAAAAAAAAAAAAAAAGTTTGTATGGCAAACTCTAAAAAATGGCATACTTTGGGAGGTTAATTTTTTTTTCCCCCCAAAATTCAATGACCCAATACATGCAGGTTAAAAGAAAACGACCATAAATGAATACAGCTACTACATGTTTTTGCTTAAGCGTGCAGACACACACACATGCACATAGATGACATGAATATAGTTTTTGAACTGGGAAAGAGGTGAATTTGAATAATTGAATCCATCCCTTAACTTGAAACTGGTGGGTCCAGATATAACTGTAGAGTAATAATAATCTGAAAAATTTTAAGATGGTGCTCTGATTTGTCTAATTATCCATAACATTTTTTGCTACAGCTATCTTGTTTCTAGACTGGATTTTGTTGATAAAGGCATCTATAATCAAGATTCTTTCTCACCTATACCGATAAATCAAGATACTAACATAAACTTTCAGTCATTCTTAAAAAGTTAACAGCAAAACAATGAGAGGACGAGACGAAAATATATTTCTCATGTTAGTTGTTACCTTTTTGCAACATCAGACGTTGAACATACAACGTTAATTGCTCCAATCCTTTCCGCATAGAGACCCAAATTTTTACTGTAAGACTGAGCAATCAGAAGCTCCATGCCACGTGCAGCAAACAACCTCACTGAGGACGCATCTTCATCGAGGCTCCCGCTTGCAAAACCCTAGAGTGAAACTAACTAGTGATGATTTCACATAAAATGTTCCGACCAAACTATATATATATTCTCTAGGCCTCATTACCAACAAAGAGATAACAAAGCACCTGATAAGCGACATCAAAAAATGGAATGTGGCCCTTTTCCTGAATGACATCAGCAATTCCTTCCCACTGTTCTGGAGTGGGGTCAATGCCAGTTGGGTTATGCGCACAACCGTGAAGTAGCACAAATGATCCATTTGGAGCCGCCTATGACAAGAGATTCCATTCCAAATAATTACAAGGGAAATTGATTAAAATGATGAAAAAATTAAAAAAGAAAGACTCCCAGCCTATATAATTTCTCCTAGTTGTTGGGGTGAAGAGGAAAGTGCAGTGTGTCGTGACCTAAGGATCAGTCATATGCATCACAACAGAAGAAATTTGCTGCTTCTGCTGCTCTATAACAATACTCTAGGAAGTTTTCTCAGTTCCCAATGTGAGCTACATTGAGAAAAGAATGTGCAAGGAGATTGCTAAAAGCAAATACCAAGAAAAAAACTCATACAATCAACAGTATAATGAAAGAAAATGATTAATGCATTTATAATTTACATCAGGAATTCAGGACCTTATCTAATTTTTATACTTTCTTTATATTAGAGCTTCATTTTGTTTGCCCGTTGATTTACATTAGGACCTTACTATGCTATGTCCTTTTCTTTTATTTTTTTTTTATTTTTTTACAGAATGATCTTATTATGTTAGCTTTATGCTATTTCACTCTTTTTATGATGCAGTTTCATATTAGTTTGAGTATGTTTAATCAGCAACCAATTTCCATGTTGATGTGCTATAGATCAAATATCGGGTTTATTATAACAATTATACTTACTAAGTAATTTTTAAGGCCAAATGAACAGTCCACCACGAGCATCGCACATGTTACTAACTAGTCTATGAATTGGGACTACCAGTAACAAATGCAACCACAAATTACAAGCAAGAACCTCACATTTTACATGTTCATACAACTGATGGAATCAACAAATGATGGCCACCCATTTACCCAAGCAGGTTTGCTCAACAACAAAGTTAACAAAAACTAAGGAAGCTTATAAAATATGAAATGTGGAAAGCACCAGTAAATCAACACATTCTAGGAGAGGTCAGCTGTATTAACATAACAAATTAATAACTTATGAAAAATAAATCTGGACAAATGGAAAAGAGAGAAAGTTTGAAATGAAACCTTTATGTCAGCTATCATCCCTTCAAAATCCAAGCCAACAGTTTTGGGATCATAATATCGATACTCAGACCATGGAACTCTGGCATCATTGAAAATATTTTTGTGGTTTCCTGGACAGTTATTATAGGGAAAAGATGAGTAACATATAGAAATTATCAGCTCAAATGACTTGAAAACAAAGTTAGAGAACATATAAGCAAAGTAACAATCTCATCCCAAATTACCAGACTGAATCTTCTTTACAAAAATGAGAAACTTAAATAGGATTAACTATCAGAAAGCAATCAGTTAACCGACTGCTCAAATCTCTTACTCAAAAAGCAAATGCACCTAATTAATTCACATAGGAGTCATTAATAGTTACAACTAACAGTGAAACACCATCCAAACAACTTGAAGAGCATTTTAACAAATACCCCATGTTGGAGATGACAATAGAACTTTGGAACCAGGAAAATATCTCTCTATGAGGGCTGCAGCAAGCCTCAGAGACCCAGTTCCTGAAAGACCCTGGACAGTGGCAACCTGTTCCAAGAAAGAAGAACTATCACACAATTCATCTTCATATACCAGTTAAAGATTTAAACCTCATCTGTAAAAGGACAAAGCTAAAATCCCTTACCCTTTCTTCCTTAATAACAACATTGTCTGCTCCAAATAATAGTTCTGCTGTAACTTTGTTAAATGCAGCCAAACCTTCGATTGGCAGATACTACAAAGTGCACACAGTGGATTTTATTTTTCGAGCCTGCTCATTGCCATAATCAACTACACAAAAAACGTATTAGTTCATACTTTTGAGTTAACTGTCAAGTACCTCTTTATTTTCCCCGCGTTCCAGCATGAGATTTTCAGCCTAGAAAATTTATGGAAAGCACGATATCAAAATATTCTCTTAAGCACATATAGTCCAGTACATGTAAAAGTAGTATAATGTACAATGCATGAAAAAGAATCAATGAAACACTTACTTTCTTAACAACATTGAGAACATAGGGTTGAAGTTCTTCAGTACGATAGGCACCAACACCAAGGTTAAGCTTCATTTCATTCGTATCCGCTTTAAATGCTTCAGAAACACCAAGAATGGGGTCGGGAGGAGCCATTGTTATTTCATTGAATCTGGAAACCTCGACTGCTAAACTCATGCGTGTGCTGGTAAAGGGCTGTCACCAAGATTACAGATAGTAAAATGCGGGATCTTAAAGGTCATAGAAACTGACTTTTCAAACATGAGCCAACAATCTCTAGAGTAATTAGTTTCAAGCTGGATCAGTATTCAGTACAACCGAGACTATAAAAATTCAGAAATTACAAGACTAATAAAAAGAAGCACAACAACACCTTTGCCTTGACATAATCTTTTCCCAGAAAATGATTGGAAGCCCCAAGCTTTCGATTCGCCTGTTAAACCACAGGAACAAAGGAACTGAACAAAAGCACACATTTCTATTTTCTCACTGGACAGAACAAGCTCTGGCCAGATAAATTACATATTTTTTCCCAACAAATTTTCCCATATTCTGGAATCCTTAAAAAGCGAAAAAAGTAAAAGGGAAAATGGCTACCTTGAGATTATCCGACAACGAGCGAGGATTGACGAAAGCAGAGGTTAGCGACAGAGCAGAAGAAGCCATCTGCAGATGCACCAGAAGAAGAAGAAGAAATAACGGTTTTAATAATCAACAAATCAACTGAAAATAGTTGGGGATCACAAATAATTCAAGATTGCATGTGATAGAGATGGGTGAAGGATGGTGAAATACCGAACAAAAAAGGTGGTACTTTTATGTAAGCTGTCTGTACTCAGAGCTCTTATGCCCAAATCAAAGGAGATTGAGTGAGTGAGAGTGGTGTGGATGAGGAAAAAGAAAACGCAAGCTCAGCGATATAACCAAGAGCAAGACCAAAGGGGCTTAAGTTGTAACAGATTTCAGCCACAATCATTTTTTTTAAATGTTCTTTTTTTTTTCTTNAGAATGCTTTGAGAATACACTAGTACGTACCCCATGTTATGCACGGAACATAGATATTAAATGAGTTATTTTCACACTTTTGTCCGTCTAAGTCTAAAAAATAATAGAGTTATTATCTATTTTCTATCTCTTTTAATCAACGTTAAGTCTAAAAAACAATAAGTTATTATAAGTTTTTTTTCCACATCAAAACAATAAGTTATTATAAGTTTTTTTTGCACATCTTTTAACCAACGTTGTTTTTTTAGCCAGAACATTAAATATGAACATGTTAAGGCTAGTTTGTAAAATAATTAGGGTCAGTTTTTGATTGAGCTTGATATAATACTTTAGTTTAGGGCCCTGGTTTTTGTGTGAAATTATCCACACGTTTAAGGTGTTTGGTTGGGTTTTTGGACATTTAGATATAGGCCTAATAAAGGTGAATAAGTTGTTTGGTTGGTCATCTTTTCAGCAGACATCTCTTTCAATATTTCTCTATTTCCCATTTTGACACCAAAGAGACAAAAAATGTACGCCGACTAGAAGAAGAGAACCTCATGAAAAAGACGAGCAGAATTGCGTCAATAAAGCTTGATTTATAGCCCATCGGCTTCTCGGCGAAGGAACCTTCAATTACAGTCGAAGGAGACGATCCCTAGTCAGATATCTCAGCATCGGGCTTCATCNAAAAAAGGTTAGGGTTAATCGACTTACCTTTCTTGTCGGAGTAGAATTTAATTTCTACCAAATAAATTGTGGTTGCGATTAGTTAATTTGTTCATCTTGTTCACTTAATTAGGACTTTACCCATTTTCTAGTTCCTTTTCCTGTTCTGCACATTCACAATTAAAGTTGATTATGTTATATGTGTGTATACAAGACTTATTCTAATTTTCGAGGTATGAGCGCCTAGGGTCAGTGAATCCTAATCTAAACAATTTGTGAAATCAATATATGAATGAAGTTATTCTTTATCATGAACCAATTGTGTGAACTATATATGATTTCTCCTTGGATTGTATAACATCTTGCATATGATGAAATGGGCTTTGTTACTTCTCTGTACTTGCGCTTTTTCAATCGTTCTTACATTTTTTTGTTGGAGATGTTTGTCACTCTCTTCTGTCAATTGATGTGAAGTTTATAATATTACACCTTGGTGGGACAAAGCTGCAGACCTTTCTCTTTTTTATTTGACATGTGCAAAAAGGCTTTAGATTAGTAAGACTCATACTGTGGAATTGTTGTGATGGGAAACTCATGATTCAACTTCACTTTTGTATGCCTACATTCGCAGGAATGAAACCATATACTCGAAATGATGACATTGCAAAGCTCTTCAGTACTGACGGTTGGAATGAAAACGAAGAGAACTTCCTCGTTGAACAACTTGAACATGTTGCTCTTAATATTCCTGTAAGTTCCATTACAACCTTTGATACTTGTTTGTGGCTTATCACTGGCTGCTGATAGAAAAGTTTAGAAAAAAGTTTTCCATCCCAATAGTAAAACAAAAGTCATCAATTTCCGGAGCCAATACAATTAGTTTATGGAGTGGAAACAAATCCCAGGCGTATATCACAACTGAAAGTCTAACAAAGTCTCTGTCGATGGAGTGTATTGGCATTCAATCAGAAAGGTTGGTTTGATCCTAAATTGCTTCAGCATGTTTTATTCTTTATTCATCCTAATGTTAACAGGGCTTTGGTTTATTTTTCATTTAACTTTTTTAAATTTTTCAGGAAACTATGGAATGGAGGTTTTTCAGAACCTATGGGATGAAATATTTTGAAACGGCAGACTTATTGTTCAAGACAAAGAATGCAGCTCCTATATTGTCCCTCACTGCTAGATTATTTTAGATAATAGTTTGACTTAATCTTCTTGTTCTTTGACCACAACTGTTGTGTGGAAATGTAATAGGATTGTAAGGTTTTGAATTAGTATGTGATGAATGTGGGTTGCTACAATGACCTTATTTTGTAATGATAACAGTTTGTTCATTTTGCTATATATGAGAATGGATGATAATTTTGTTTGTATTTGGAAATTGTGTTTGTACAGACATGAGAGCATGTTCCAGGAAAGACAATGGGAGCACTGTTATGTGACAAATAATTTGAATTTATTTTAGAAAACAATAGCATGAATTCTGCCACCAGTTTTAAAACTGAAAAAACATGTTACATTTTGTGTGAAGAAAGGTACAGTAACAAAACTCCAATTTATCATTTTCCACTGAAGAAACCTGGGTGGTCAAATAAAAATTATGTAAACTTGAAGATGATTAAACACATTAAACCTTTTTCTTCCCCCACACATTAATAGACTCATATCTGAGATTCTTCTACATTGATAAACACATGATCAGGCTGCCAAAAGTCTCCTAATTTCGTGACGAACGTGTCTCCCTCTTGGCTGCCAATTAGTGTCAAATTAGACATGAACCAACAACATTATCCCAATCATACACAAGTGTTGTATTTGAAAGATTAACACATCAACAAACCAAAATGATGTCATGTATCAATAGAACATGGCTCAACAAAAGTGTTGCACAATACTAGTTCTCAAACAAACAAAAATTAACCAAAGTAATTCCATAACATACACATATAATTTAATCAAACCCAATATCTTAGCATTCAACCTTCAATACTTACCATTCTTTAAATACCATACAACAATTATGAAGGCCAAAAGGACAATGAAAACACGAGTGTTAAATTCTGGACTTCTTTTCCTATTTAATGTATCTAATAGCAGCAGCTCCGCATTTTAAGCTTGTACTTCCCTTAGTTTTTCTTTCTTTTTTTCCAGCTTTTCAGTTAAAACTTCCAACAAAGCATCCTTGTTTTTAGCTTCTTCTTCCAACATTAACTTAGAAGATCTCAAGTGTAGGTAGCATGATTTTTGAAAAGGATGCTTCTCGTCGTCGAACCATTCAAAGAACGCACAGTCGTCCGTCTACAATAAAACAACCAAGATTGGAGTTACAAAAATTTCTTCAGCGAAGGGCACTATATAACAACTCAAATCACAAAACAATATAATAGTGACAATCTTAGTTTAACCTCAATTTGATGCTCGAAAATATCCACATATAGACTGACAATGCAACAAAGGCTGATAAATACCCAAACTGACTCTAAGATAGCTCATAATTTGAAAATATCCACTGAAGAAAGACAATGCAACAAAGGCTGATAAATACCCAAACTGACTCTAAGATAGCTCATAATCTGAAAATGCAACAAAAAGCCCTTAGACTGAAAAAAAAAATCCACATATAGACAAGAATTTGAACTCCCTAACTAACAAGCTTACTACTAACAACACCAACCGTAAGAGCTACTGATGCAATCATATAGCCTACCTGGCCTACGCCAAATATAATTAAGTAATCATTATGATGAAAGAAATTGAAAGGTGTGAGCAAATTGAGGTTCAATTAAATTTTAAAAAAAAAGCACATAGAAGGTTATACTTACGTTTCGAAGTCTGCATCTATAGAACCTCCTACACGGATTTTTTTCGGTGTTAGACGTTAAAAATTGAGCCTCCAAGCCATGAAAACACCTTCTTGTCGGAGCATCGTGTTTGTCGATGCTATGCGATGCTTTTTCCGACGAGCTCTTTCTACCACTATCCCGAGACATTTTTGGAGCGACCTGTTGTTTCGTTGGAAGGAGAAGAAGGAAATTTTAATGTTCTTTGAGAAAGACCTATCTCTTGGCCGTTGGTATATGAACAATTATAAGTATACCTCTCTCTGGCTGACCACGTGGGACACTATGTGGCGTACATCATCTCTATACTATTCTTTGAAGAGGTCTTCCTTTATGTCAGTTACAAAATTCAGGCTTTTTCCCCAAAAGAATGCTTTGCTGAAACATCTTTTTTCATAGTACGAATATATTCTGATTCCCTATCATATTGTCCTTCATCAATCAATCACTTGTCAATAAAAAAGAATATATTCTCTCCTACAAGGAAAAAATACAAATAGACTCCTGTGATGAAAAAATATCTCTTACATGTTTGGTGAGATAACTTTGCATCAGACTCCTTGGTTTTCAAGAGATACACTACAATACAAACTCCTCGATTAGTCACTATCAAACTCGTAGGTTACCATTGGATTCTTTCATTTTTTAGTATATGGAATATATTCTCTTGCTAACAAAAAAAAAAAAGATGAAAGAAACTTTGAACAGAGCACTTATGCTATGCATGAAATATGGATTAGAGGCACGCAGTACCATTATATATTTTCATGCAGATAGAAGCTTTTTGAATACGAAGGAAAAAACAACATAAAATTGTAGAATTCAAAAAACTAGTTTTCTAAAATAGGTCGTTGCACGTAAATGGCTCCCAAAAATATTTTCTCTGCTGCAGTTGCACACACTAAGGTATTTTATTCTGGGGAATGGACTAGGCCAATTGAAGGAGTGTTCGTCCAAGAGTTGGTTGACCAAGCGGCTGCGGGAAATTTCAAGGTTGGCCATCCAAACCATCATGCTATACTGAGTGCACAAGGACTCGTGAACGCACAATTTGGTAAGAGCTTTGATTTTAACTATTGCAAAGGGAAGTTACATAAACTTCGTAAACGCTATGAAGTTTTCACCTAGATAACACAACAAAGCGGGGTTGTGTTCATATATGGATCCAAT